GCCCGGTTGGGGTTTTGCCGGCGGGGAGGGCGGGAGCCACTTGGGCTGGGTTTTAGTTCCCTTTTTAATCCCTTCCCCTGCTTGAGTCAGAGGCTGAAGTCACCGGTGTGAGCATCCCGAAGCTTTGCACCCGCCGCGGGGGACCGTCTGCCCCCCAAAAGGATGCGCTGGCGCCTGTGAGAGGGATTTTGGGGGAGCGGAGCTGCCCTGCACAGGGGAATGAGACCGGGCAACTCGTCACACAGGTATTGTTCAGGCTCACGATTCATCTCGGGGATGAATCTTCACTGCTGCAGCTCCCAGCTAAAGCCTCGGGGTTCCCTGCCCCCCCCAAACCATCCAGTTTGGGAAAGGGAAGTGTCGCCCCAGCTGCTTTTCCCGTTGGGAAGCTGAATAAACAGCGCTTTTCCTTCCCGAATAGGGTTTATCGGGATCAGGCGCATCCTGCCTGTGCTGCTGGGCGATGCTCGGGGGCCTTTTTGGTGATAGGGGATGTGGTGACGTGCGGCATTGTGCCTCAGTTTCCCCATCTGCAAAGCTAAAGGAGGGGATGCCCTGAGCTGGAAGTGATTAGCATGGAAATGGGGGTAAGCAGGGAGGGAATAGGAAGCTGGGGGACATGGGAACACTCCCAAAAAGGGTTTGCAAAAGTAGATCCTATTGCAGCCCCATTTTTAAGAGGAAAGGTGGGACTTTTTTGCTGCCCACCAGGAGTTTAATCCCAAGTTGGGGCAAAAAGAGGAAATACAGGGGGTTAAAACGCTTGCAAACGGGCAGGGTTTGGCTACAGGGGCATGAAAATGGGAGATTTTGGCTGCTGCTTCACCGGGACCCTTTACCCTGTGTCCTCCCAGGCATGAGGCTGTTTATTGCCATGACGTGGGACGGGGACACTCGCTCCTTCTCCCTTTCCGGGAAGGCGAGGAGGGAGGCGGGCTGAGGCTGAAGGGCAGCAGGGCCACGGCAGCTCCCGGTGCACCCGGAGGTTTTGCTCTCTCATCTGTTTTTTCCCCTAAAACCAAACCCAGGTCCGGCCCGTCCGTGGTTTCGGCGATGCTGCCAGGGAAAGCGGAGAAGAGGATGGTTTCGTCAGTCTTCATCACCCTGGTGCCACCACGGAGGGAGGTGGCGACCAAGGAGAAAACCCAAAGGGAACCGCAGGCAGACGGTGACAAGGTCCCAGGCACCCATCACCCAGGTCCCAGGCCCCCATCACCCCTGGACCCCGCTGCCCCGGCCCCCTGCGCTGCCCAACGGAGGTGAGGGGGGGCTGTGGGGGGCTGTGAGAGGTGCTGGGAGGATGATGGTGTGGAGGTGCTTTGTGTCTCCTTTGCATTAAGGGATGCGTGTGCAGGCAGGAGGGGATGTGGGGGTTTTGGGGAGTTATTCCCCAAATCCCTGCACCCAACCCTGAATGGATCCGGCTGTTGGGGACGGGCTGTGTTTGCTCTTGATCACTGGGTGCTTATCGGCATTGTTTGTCCCCTCCGGCTGCGGTGGCGTTTGCTTTTGGGGCAGGTCGGTGCAGTGAGCGTTGCTGCAAAGCTGCCAGGGCGACAGAGCATTCTTGGATCCCCCAAACCCTAAACATCTGGCTTTTGCCACAGAAACCTGCCCAGCAGCCCCTGTGCCTTCGTCCCCGACGGTCCTCGTCCTCTCCGAAGCTCCCCAGCCCCTGTCTGCAGAGACACTGGTTCCGGCACTGCAGCAACTGGACCTTGCAGCACCCACCACCCTCCAGGTGAGGACAAATCCCACCAGTGCCTCAGTTTCCCCACATGCAAGGGCATAAACGTAACGTGCCTTTGTCTTCCCGCACTCGCCAGGCCCCTTCTGCCTGAGCCCCCCAAAATTCAGCCAGGAGCAACCAGGCAAGCCGCAGTGGCAGGATGTGAAATGGTACCCAGAGAGGGACAGCTCCAGAGGTGAGGTGGAGATAGGGCTGCGCCATGCGGGGTTGTCCTCGGTTGGAGAAACTGAGGCACGCAGCACCGAACCCCTTTCCCTTCCTCCTGCAGACATCTGCGCCTTCTGCCACAAAGCGCTGGGGCCGCGGGAGCCAACGGTGGAGGCGATGGGGAAGCAGTATCATGCCGAGTGCTTCACCTGCAGGACGTGCCCCCGGCTCCTGGCCGGGCAGCGCTACTACCAGAAGGACGGGCGCCCCATGTGTGACGCCTGCTACCAGGTACCCGTCCTCCCTTGGGGGCAACCAGCACCCTCAGGGGGGTGGGAGGAGGTGCAGTCCCTGAGGGTGGGAGCTGGGGTCTCATGGTGTGTCCCCCCCAAACCCCAGGCCACACTGGAGAAATGCGCCAAGTGCCAGGGGCTGATCACGGAGTGCATCATCCGTGCCCTGGGCAAAGGCTTCCATCCTGACTGCTTCTCCTGTGCTGCCTGCGGCCGGGCCATCGGCGCAGAGAGCTTCGCAGTGGATGAGCAGGACGAGGTGTACTGCGTGGCCGACTACTACAGGTTGGATCAGTGCTGGTGACAGTCGGCTTGTCCCCGTCACCCCACAGCGCTCACACCGCTCCCGTTCGCTCCCATCAGGAAATACGCTGCGGTTTGCAGCGCCTGTGAGCGCCCCATCATCCCCCACGAGGACAAGGACACCTACAAGATCGAGTGCCTGGGACGCAGCTTCCACGAGAGCTGCTACTGCTGCGAGGTACGACCCTGATGGTGCCCCAAAAAACACAAGGGGTTGGCACTGAGCCTTTGTAAAGCACAGCCAAGGGGGTTGCAGCAGCTCGGGTTATTTTTTAGCCATCATTTTATCTTGTAAGTGGTGGTGGGAAAATAAACAGATCTGGTGAAAAGGACAATGTGTTCAGCCAGGAGAACTTCAGCTCTTCACGGTTTTCATGTAGTTTGTTGCTTTGTCCGAGCGCTGGTGGGTTTGACGGGATGCACCATGACACAGGGACCCCTAACATGTGTCCTCCCTCTTCCCTCTCACCCCCAGAGCTGCAGGACACCCCTGTCACCAGAGCTGACGGAGAACGGGTGCTACCCCCTGGACAACCACCTCCTCTGCAAGTCCTGCCACATCCGCTGGCGAAGCGAGTCATCCTGCTAAAACCCCGCGGTTCAACCTCCATCTTCCACCAAACAGGGGGTGCATCCACCAGGATCCACCCTACGGCCAGCCCCGGGTGTCCACTGCACCCCCAAACAGCTCCAGGACTGGTGTTTTCATCACCAAAATGCACCCACGACCCCGACTCGCTGGGCTGGCCAGGGGAAGCGCAGACAGAGTGTATCTCTCTGCTCGTTATGGACATGCAAAGCCCCCATGACTGAGGAGCTGAGGGTTTATTCACCCATTTCTTTTTTTAAAACTCCTTTTCCGAGGCCAGTTTGGTTTCTTGGGTGTTTTTTCTTCTTTCTTCTTGAGCTTCCTTGGGGTTTCAGTTAAACATTTCTCTCTGCGGTGACGCAGAGCAGGCACTGATTTAGTTACTTGCAGTTAAATAAAACCCCGAGTTCAAACCCCCTCGTTTCTTTCATCCACCCTGCATTCCAAACCCATAAAATGCACGTTTAGAAAGAAGGAAAAAAAGACATTTTAGGGTTTTTATAGGCGTGGCAAGAGTTGGGTCTCTTGGAGTGAGAACGCGGCTGGTTTTGGGGTGCAGCAATGCTGCTGTCGCCCTGGGGAGAGCAGAGGGTCGGTTTTGGGGGCCAGATTCAGGATTTTATGGTGTGTGTGGTGGTGAGGAAAGGGGGTTTGGTGATTGTGGTTGGTTTGGGGTTTTTCTTGCTGCCCTGTCTACGCTGCTTGTCTTCCTTGTCTGCACTGCTCCACCTCAACCGAGTCGGCAGAGGGCAGCCGGAGCACGAATTCCTCCATCAGCCAGAAAAACTCCAGCTAAACGTTGCCTGGGATCCTGGGAAAGACCAACAGCCCCGTTTTTGCACGTTATCTGAGATAGTATCGCTCTGCCATCAGCAGCTTTTTGATCTTCTCTCAGTCCAAGCACCACTAAACTATTTATAAGCATGCCCAGCATCTGTGCAACCGATGTCACCAGGGTTTTGTTTGTGAGGGTGTTGCAAACGAGCTGGAGGAAGAGTTTTAACTGAAAGCGCTTAAAAAGGTTGGAACTGGATGATCCTTAAGGTCCCCTCCCCCAAAACCAGTCTATGATTCTGTGAATCGAGAGGAGGAAATACAAAGAACATCTGAGGTGATGGTTAACACTTTTCTGGTTGAAAAAAAGGGGCTAAACCCGACCAAAGCAGCAGCCATGTGTTTCTAGGTCACATATGGTGTCTCCATAGCGTGTGCTTTATTTATGAACGAAAGGGTTAATGTATCATTAATGTAAGCACCGGGTGATTAATCACATCAGCCCGAATTTTTTTGACTGTTCCCCATCTACAAAGCCAATTACTCAGTGTTTGCTAATGTGAGTCTACAGCTCTTCAATCAGGTCATAACTCGCTATAAGGTTATTATTATAAATAGGATGTTAATGCAGAGTTGCGGTCTGTCCCGGTCACGTAGGTGGCTTTGGGTCTGGCGTGTCCCAAGCCCCAAGTTCAGCTCTCACTTTCCAAAGCCTCTTGCCCTGTGGGGAAACCCAGGCACCAAAATGATGCTGAAACAGTAAAATGACGTGGGCAGACTCAGCCGTGACCAAAGGCTGTGGGGAAGGGGAGCCCCAGAGAGCAAAGGGCTGTTCATTTCTTTGCAATATGGGTAATTTTCCAATGAATGTTGGGGGAGGATGGAAACGCTGATGCTGAGAGGTGTTTTGGAGGGTTTATTACATTGCGCGCTGGTTCACATCCTCTGCACAGCACCCTTGGGTGCTCAGCAAGCTATACTGTCCCTCTGCAGCGCTAACGGCGGAGAGGGGTTGGGTGGTTTTGCTGCAGAGCAAGCCAGGATGGGCTGTTAGCACGGGCACTGCGGAGTTTGTGGTCACAGGTAGGCAGGGAATGGGTTTACTGACGCAAAGCCGTACAGAAGATGCTGGAGGGCAGGAGAAGGGCAAGGCGCAGCTGGAGAGGTTGGCAGCGTGGCAAAGGGACAGAAGTGGTCAGATTTAGCATATTCTTCTCCAGGAAAGGAGGATGAGGAGGGTCAGGGATGGATGGACATGGAGGCAAGAGGATGACAGACTGATTTAAGCCATTTTCTTCTCAGGTAAGGGGAGAAGCACTGCGAGTTGAGGCACAGGGAGCGTCGCTATGCCTGAAAAGCACGGCCCCACGTTTTCCCCTGGGAGCACCTCGAGGAATTTCCAGCGCTGGATGAGCCACATGGAGAAGATTTTGCAGGGTGAGGCTGCGGGAGACGGGTCCCATCCTGCTGCTGGGCAAGCCCAGGTCTGCTGCGACAGCTCAGCCTGTCCTTGGGCTCTGTGCCCTGTTGCAAACGCCTTTACAAGCGCCCAGGTTTGCTTGGCAATGACTAAAACACATATAAATCATTCACAGAGCAATATGAAGCTCTTGCTCTGCCCTGGGAGCACCCCAAAGCCTTGCAGAACCCCCAGGGACCATCATAGGCATAAAACCCGCTCAAGGTCTTGTCTTGCTCCTAGTGGCAGTGCAAAAGGGCAAAGAGGATCCTACGCCTTGGAGCCGCACTGGCCGGGCCCTGCCCTTCCCTCGGCTGCTGCAATAAGCCTGTCTTGTCTTGCAATCCCTCTTGGCAGGCCAAGGGGAGCGGGAGGGACGTGGCTGCCCTCCAACGAGAAGCAAATGCAAATATTTCTCCACTTCAGGCTGGGTGCGGTCCGCGGATAAAATTTCCCTGGGCTTTCCCAGTGAAGGTTTCCAACACTGCTCCCCGCTGCGAGCTGGGAATCGAGCAGCAACGGGGATGGAAAAGGGCTTGAAGATGATCAAGTCCAA